AAAAAATGGTGTCTTTTCAGGAAATACACTAGAAAGAAGTTGAGAAAGCTCTCATGTCAACAGTATACCTAGATGTCGTCATTTTCTTCCTGAAGCTATTTTTGACAATTTAAATTTCAGTCGGACAAAACCAAAGGAACATCATAACATTTAGTCCCCGGTCTCCACTTCCTCTCTTCACATCCTATTAAATATAACAGCCCTAGCTGGTTTGGCTCAGTGGATAGAGCATCGGCCTATGGACTGAAGGGTCCAGGGCTCAATTCCAGTCAAGAGCACATGCTTGGGTTGCAGGCTCGATCCCCAGTAGGGGTTGTGCAGGAGGCTGCCTAACAATGATTCTCTCTCATCATTGATGTTTCTATCTCTCTCTCCCTCCTCTCTTAAATAAAAACATAATTTAAAAATATATTTATATAACAAATTCACTTTTTAGTAAAAGTTGGTATCCCAATGAACCCAATGAATTTAATTGCTTACCTTATTCTTTCTTTTTCGTCGAAATCTCAGAAGTTCTTTGTGTTGTCTTGATACAAAATTTACAGCTGCATATTCCAGAAGTGCTGCAAACACAAAAAGGAGGCATACTGCCATCCAAATGTCAATAGCTTTGACATATGATACCTAGCCAAGAGAGAGAGAGGGAGAGAGAGCGCACAAATTGACTTGTATTGTTACTTCCATTGGGAATAAAACCAAATGTCTGACTATGAAGTATAGCATGTGTATACCAGTTTGGGGGGAAAAGGGAAATGACTTTTTTTTTTAACTTAAGAATTTTTTCAGTAATTAACTTTGCACGTTTTATATATTAGTCATACGTCAAAACACATATTTTTGTTAATTTCTTTCCAAATGTGGTATTAGACCATACATATGATGGGGGAAAAAAATAAGATGAAATGTAATTTTATTTTTAGGTTAGTGTAGCATAATGCTTGGAAAGTATGAAGTTCTATTAATATATACCATACCATCATGGCAGTATAATGCTGTTTACCTTTTAGGTTCATATTTTCTTCATTAAAAAGTGTTGTATTTTGAAATGATTTTAACCTTACAGATATTGCAAGAACAGTAAAAAGAACTCCCTGAATGAGGAAGGACTAGAAAAGTCTAAGAAAACTAGCTAACAGGGGTGAGGACAGGGTAAGGAGATGAAAAAAATTAATCTCCCATCAAAATATGTTTTCATGTACAAATTATATGCTCTCCTTTTCATAAAAAATTGATCGAATGCAAGATCTAGCATTGTTTTTTTTGTTTGTCTTCTGTAGTAAACATTTGGTTACATTTGTCTATATATCTCTATCTCTATTATAATAGAGATAGATGTTGTCTATATCTGTGCCTTTCTCTCTAAATTATTTGAGTCGAATATTCAGTCATGATTCTCCATTACCTCCAAAAATTTATATGTATTTTCTAAAGGAAAAATAACACTCTCATACATGACTCTAATACATCCAACAAAATCAGGAAATTAATATTAATAAAACACCACCACCTAATTTTAAAACCCACTCCCATTTCACCAGTTGTTTCAATAATGCCCCTTTTAGCAGAAAAACATTTTTCTTTTAGTTCAGGATT